CATCTATTTTGTGGGCAATGCACTCTTCGTCATCTTTGGTCGCACGAGTGTTCAGCCTTGGAACGATCCACCAACCAAGCTGAGAAAGAACTCAACATCTGAGCTGGAAGCACAAGATCAAAATTGATAAATTACTGTGAGATTTCTTAAAGCGATTAGAGATTATTTTAGCATATTTGCATTGGTGTTATACACTATTAAAGCTACATAATTGTTGATTGTATACAAAAGGAATAAGAGTAAAGTAATATCAATCTTAAAAATTCCTTGAACTTAAAAAATGGCTGAAGGATCATCGTCTGCAGATCTATAACCGGCAAATTGTACATAGACAAATGGAAGAACCAGACTTTCGATGAAGTCAAAAAGTCAATGAACTCTTCGAGGTCGTGAACAAAGAAGTTTTCACAAACGGTTTGAAGATCTTCGCTCTGAAACTGTAATCTCTCATTAGTTTAGTTTAGTTTTGAGAATGTATGTGTAAAGTCGCATCTTATCTAATCATATTATAAAAAGAAACTATTAACTGAGGATTCATAAATACTAAAGCTTTCAACCGACGTTTCAAAGCCGGTAAAGACTAGAATATCTTCATCCCATCTTCCAGTTAGTGGAATGATCTTGTAGAGATCGGTAAAGCGGCGTACAGAAGATAGCATAGTACAGTAATCTAGTGAAGGATAATATCAACCAGAGTATTAAAGAGAGAAATACAAGATGGTGAAAAATCGTCGCTTTGAAAATAAATGTATGTGTAGGAAATGGCAGGACTACGGTATATAGGAAAAAAGAAGCTATCAAAGTTATAACTAAAGGGAACAACAACTGTTTTACGGTGTCGTCTATGTGTGCCTCTACTTCATATATTAAATTCCAATTAAGGGCCGAAGCTGTAGAGGACAAGTTGTTTAATTGTTTACCTCTTGATCTTGTAGCTTCTGGATATGGTATACGACATTTGCAAATCCTTTTGCTCTCTAGCGCAATGGCCGTGGGCTTCGCGATGCGAGTGAATCTATCCGTGGCTATTGTGGACATTGTTGAATTTCCCGTAAGTGAAAATTGAAAAGGTAGATTGACTCACATCTATACATAAGCGCTCTTCAGGAATACAATTGGTCGGAGAGAATCAAATCCCTGGTGCTGAGCAGCTTCTTTTGCGGCCATGTGATTACTCAGGTGCCAGCCGGTTCTCTGGCTCGCCGATTTGGTGGCAAGGTGACAATCCTGACCGGATTATCTATTTGCTCCGTGCTGACTATTCTGACGCCACTCTGCGTGAGCCTGGGTGGCTGGAAGATGCTATGTGCTGTGCGCCTCATTGAGGGTGTTTTGCAAGGCGTACTGTTTCCCTCCTGCCATACGGTGATCTCGGCCTGGGTGCCTCCCAATGAGCGAGCGACCATGGGAAACCTTACCTATGCCGGCTATCAATTTGGCATGATTGCCATGTTGGCCACCAGTGGCCTTTTGGCCTCCATGGGTGGCTGGCCGAGCATCTTCTATGCATCGGGGGCAGCTGGCTGCCTTTGGTCGGTCGTGTACTACTTTTGGGGCGCCAGCACGCCAGCTCAATCCAAGAGAATTACGCCAGAGGAGAGAGAGCTCATTGAGCTGGGACATGCGAGCGAGCGAACTGAAGATGCCGAACTACCGAGCCATCATCAGATTACTCCGTGGCTGACCTTCTTCAAGTGTCCTGCAGTGCTGGCTTTAATTGCCGTGCAATCTGCCCACGGCTTCGGATTTTGCTTGTTGCTCACACAGATTCCAAGCTACATGAAGAATATCTTGGGCAAGGACATCAAGACAAATGCTCTTCTATCTGCATTGCCCTACACGACCATGTTCGTGCTCAGTTTTGTGTTCGCTTGGCTCTCCAAGCGATTGCAGCGAACGGAATGTGTTTCGCTCTCGTGGAATCGAAAGTTGTTCAACTCGATTGGAATGCTGGG